TTGCACGATGTCTATTAAAAAAATACATTTACATTTAAACTAACAATTTCCTTTGGGTGTATTATTAGGGAGAAAAAATAAATAAATGAGCAAATTATAAAAAGCTTTTTCTGTAAGCTTTTAAGCAATTAAGTAAACGTTGTACATAAAAAGTTAGGAAAGCAAAATTTTTTAAATTAACGCTTAATTAGTTGAATCGACAAATAATGAAAAATGAAATCAACTGATACATGAACAGACAAGACTATAGTCAAGACTAAAGAATAGACTAGACAATAGACTAGACTTTAGACTAGACAATAGACTAGACTTTAGACTAGACTAGACTAGACTAGCCTAGACTAGACTATAGACTAGTCTATAGACTAGCCTATAGACTAGACTATAGACTAGTCTATAGACTAGCCTATAGACTAGACTATAGACTAGTCTATAGACTAGCCTATAGACTAGACTATAGACTAGTCCTATAGACTAGCCTAGAGACTAGACTATAGACTAGTCTATAGACTAGCCTATAGACTAGACTATAGACTAGACTATAGACTAGCCTATAGACTAGACTATAGACTAGACTATGACTAGACTATAGACTAGACATAGACTAGACTATAGACTAGACTATAGACTAGACTATAGACTAGACTATAGACTAGACTAGACTAGACTATAGACTAGACTATAGACTAGACTAGACTAGACTATAGACTAGACTATAGACTAGACTATAGACTAGACTATAGACTAGACTATAGACTAGACTATAGACTAGACTATAGACTAGACTATAGACTAGACTATAGACTAGACTATAGACTAGACTATAGACTAGACTATAGACTAGACTATAGACTAGACTATAGACTAGACTATAGACTAGACTATAGACTAGACTATAGACTAGACTATAGACTAGACTATAGACTAGACTATAGACTAGACTATAGACTAGACTATAGACTAGACTATAGACTAGACTATAGACTAGACTATAGAGATAGACTAGACTATAGACTAGACTATAGACTAGACTATAGACTAGACTATAGACTAGACTATAGACTAGACTATAGACTAGACTATAGACTAGACTATAGACTAGACTATAGACTAGACTATAGACTAGACTATAGACTAGACTATAGACTAGACTATAGACTAGACTATAGACTAGACTATAGACTAGACTATAGACTAGACTATAGACTAGACTATAGACTAGACTATAGACTAGACTATAGACTAGACTATAGACTAGACTATAGACTAGACTATAGACTAGACTATAGACTAGACTATAGACTAGACTATAGACTAGACTATAGACTAGACTATAGACTAGACTATAGACTAGACTATAGACTAGACTATAGACTAGACTATAGACTAGACTATAGACTAGACCTATAGACTAGACTATAGACTAGACTATAGACTAGACTATAGACTAGACTATAGACTAGACTATAGACTAGACTATAGACTAGACTATAGACTAGACTATAGACTAGACTATAGACTAGACTATAGACTAGACTATAGACTAGACTATAGACTAGACTATAGACTAGACTATAGACTAGACTATAGACTAGACTATAGACTAGACTATAGACTAGACTATAGACTAGACTATATGACTAGACTATAGACTAGACTATAGACTAGACTATAGACTAGACTATAGACTAGACTATAGACTATAGACTAGACTATAGACTAGACTATAGACTAGACTATAGACTAGACTATAGACTAGACTATAGACTAGACTATAGACTAGACTATAGACTAGACTATAGACTAGACTATAGACTAGACTATAGACTAGACTATAGACTAGACTATAGACTAGACTATAGACTAGACTATAGACTAGACTATAGACTAGACTATAGACTAGACTATAGACTAGACTATAGACTAGACTATAGACTAGACTATAGACTAGACTATAGACTAGACTATAGACTAGACTATAGACTAGACTATAGACTAGACTATAGACTAGACTATAGACTAGACTATAGACTAGACTATAGACTAGACTATAGACTAGACTATAGACTAGACTGTAGACTAGACTATAGACTAGACTATAGACTAGACTATAGACTAGAGTATAGACTAGACTGTAGACTAGTTTAAAGACTAGACTACAGAGTAGACTAAAGAGATATAGATATTCATTAAATACGTAATTTCACAACGTTTTTATTCCCAGATTTATGTATATATACATATAATACAAACTCTCAGTGTAAAAGCTCTTATGTGTTTGTCTTGGCAACTTCAACTAGTAGAAAAAGATACAAAAGATGTATCTCTTAAATACTCTTTGTTTACAAATTTAACAAAACAAAGATATAAATTTGCCCACAGCAAAAGAAAGAAAAACTCACGTTGCAACAATTAACCAAATGGAAACATAAAGTAGTTTAAATGAAATCGTGGAAGTGAGCAGGAAACCTGAGAGAGAAAAAAAAGAAAAGATCGCTGATCTCAAACAAAAGATATATAAAATAAAGAAATTCCAGAGCATTCTAAATACATTATTAAATTTGTATAAAATTTAAATAATTTTCAAAATTCTGAAAACATATTAATAAATTCAAGCAGTTATTAAATAAATTACAAGAAAACATGTTTGTTAACAGTAAAAATTTGCAACAAAAATATGAAGGTGCTTAAAATAATTAAGAGTATTTAAGATTTTTTTCTTTCAATTTGTTAATTAAACCTTAAAAAATTAAAAGAGAAACTAAAACAAACAAAACAGCTGTTTTCTTAACATAATAAAGAAAATATCTGTTTGACAGCTAACATTTGCTGTCATTAGCTAGTTTCTCATTAATTTGTATCTAGTGATCGTGTGTGTTTGAAAAAAGTTGAAACATTTTTTTTTTAAGGTGAAAGAACAATTTGCAAGAAATTATTTTTATATACTATAACTAAAAGATATATATTCATATTTTTTGGCACTTGAAATTGTATAATTATTGTGAAATTTATTTAAAGGTTTTATTAAAAAAATTAATAAAATGGCTCATTTGGTGGTGCAAGTAGTTCAGCGCTGTGAAAATGCTGAAGAAAGTAAACATTTAGGTAAAGTTTTTTATTCATTATTTTCTGTTCATAATTATGACTAAATTTTAAAGTGTGTTTATTTTTACGTTTTGCTTTATTTTTACCATTTGTAGATAAAATTCAATAACAAAAACAAAATATAATAAAAGTGGACAGGGTTGTTATTTTGAGTTATTACTAATAGTGATGCCAGATTTTTTGGTTCATTTTGCCGAAATTTTGAAAAAAATCGGTTACATATTAAAATATGTTTAATTAAAGTGATCTTTGGTTAATGGAATTTTATTATAGTAAATATTTGAGATTTTTTATTAACATTTTCATTATTGAGAATGTAATTTCTTAATCTATTTAAAACGATCTTCGTTTCAATTAGTTTCAAGGATCGATTTTGAATCATTAATATAAGTGATAATAGAGAGAAAACTTTAGTTCGTAAGAATTTATGATTTTGTGGAGTTTTTCTTATAAAGAAAATATTGTTTTAAGAACGGAATGAATAAGTGCGATCACTGATTGAGCTTCTTTTTGTTTTCATGTATACGAACACATTTACAAAATTTTTGGTTAGAAATATGAGTAATCATAGTTCGAGCATATAATATGTATCTATCGTATACCGAATTCTATAGAATTTAAGAAGTTTTAGCAATGTCCATATGTCTGTCCATCCGTCCTCTTGGTAATCAGAAATATTCAACTGATCAAACGATTTTACTTTTTAAATAAATTGATTTTTGTTCTTTTCTAGATCTTGTTCTTTAAATATACATAAATGATCGTTATTAAATTCGTAACACAAGTGATTGCAGATCACGTTTATTTCTATGATTAAATATGTCTGTCCATCCGTCCTTCTGGTAATCAGAAATATTCGACTGATCAAACGATCATTCTTTTCAAATTAATTAATTTTGGGACCTAAAAACAGGTGATTTCAGATCGAGGTTCCTTTATTGATCTTGTTTTTTTAAATATACATAAATGATCGATATTAAATTCAAAACACAAGTGATTGGAGATCACGTGTATTTCTATGATTAAATATGTCTGTCCATCCGTCCTTCTGGTAATCAGAAATATTCAAATGATCAAACGATTATTCTTTTAAAATTAATTGATTTTGGGACCTAAACACAAGTGATTTCAGATCGAGGTTTATTTTCCTGATTGTGTTTTTTAATTATACATAAATGATCGATTCGAAACATAAGTGATTGGAGATCACATTTATTTCTATGATAAAATATGTTTGTCCATCCGTCCTTCTGATAATCAGAAATATTCGACTGATCAAACGATCATTCTTTTCAAATGAATTGATTTTGGTACCTAAACACTAGTGATTTCCGATCGATGTTCTTTTCTTGATCTTGTTTTTTAAATATACATAAATGATCGATATTAAATTCGAAACATAAGTGATTGGAGATCGCGTTTATTTCTATGATTAAATATGACTTCTATCATAGAAATAAACAAAGTTATTGAGATTTTCATATAAAATATTAAAGTGTGAGTCTGATATACAAGTGATCAATGGTCAAGTATTGTGATGATCGTTTGCCAAAGATTTGCAAAATTATTAATACCATTTTATGTTTAAAAGATCTAGCATCTGATCTGATTAAAGATCTAGAATCTTTTTATGGTTGAAGGCCTATTTACAAGGTTATTGGATTGGATTTACATAGAAGGTCAAAATTTTCATAGTAAGAAAATGGTGGATTCGCAAAAATATTAAGGGTCTTTTGTTGATTAAATTAAAAAAAAATGCTAAGGTTTCAAAACTAGGGTAAGAAATGTTATTTTAATTTTCTTAAAAATATGTTCATATAGTTTTAAAGAAATAAAAATTTTACTATAAAGTTTAATAATTTAATAATTTCTTTTCTTTTTTTAATATATTACAGATTTATCAGAATGTGAATTAATGCAAATTCCCGATGCTGTTTATCATTTAATGCGCAATACAGAATTGAAAACCTGTGATCTCAGTGGTAATGTCATCAAAAAGATCTCCCCTAAATTTGCCATGAAATTCAGTTTGATAACAGGTACATAACTGAAGAAAAAAACTTAAAAATTGTAGATAAAAAATAAAAATAAATTAATTTCCTTTTAGATTTAAATCTATCACACAATCAAATGACCAAATTGCCTGATGAATTGGCAGATTTAATGAATTTAACTAAACTCAATATCTCACACAATTCATTTATTGTATTGCCACCAGTGGTTTTCAAAATGCCCAAATTGAAAGAACTAGATGCCAGCCATAATGCCATTATAGGTAAAAATTGGATCATACAAATAAGTGATAAATTATTATATATGATTTTATTTTTTTTTAATATAGAAATCGATTCAGATGATGTTATAGCCAGTGATAGTTTAGAATTGGTAGATTTACGTCACAATCCCTTGGGTCGCACCTGTCATCGTAGACTGAAAAACGCTAAAACGCCTTTCCGTCTTGAGATTTCCGAACTCAATGAGGATGATGAAGACTGGTAAAATCTACTTTAACTATATTGTTAAATTATGTTTTATTTGCATAATGAATGATATTCATTTGTGAACAAATGTAGTGAAGCAGAAGAAAAATAACGAAAACCTATACATATCTCAATATTAAGGAGGCATTATATCTCTAAAATCTTAATACTTTTTTCTATTTAACGAAAACTTAGCTTAAGTTTAAGTTCTACAAATTTAGTTAATAAGTTTTATGTTTAAGTTTTTTTTAACAACAAAATACTTGCCTTTTGAAAAAGAAAATTAAAAACTAAAAAACTTTACAAAAAAAACCCATTTTCAATATTCTGATCTTAGGGTCTTAACTAAAGTAAAAATTCTGAGTTAAGTGCTAAAAGTATACTAGGAACTGTAGTTAATTGAAAATGGGGGCTAAGAGTAAGCTGGGGGCAAATTCTGGCAAATTCGATAACGATCGAAACAAACCTCAATAGAATTTTAAAAAATTTTATAAGAAATTTCGTTCGCTTTCGAATACCAGAATTTGGCCCCTGAGTATATCGTTTGAAAACCTTTAACTATGTTTTAACAAATTAACTCTAAGCAAATTGTATATTAAATGATAGTTTATTTTACTAACTTAGAATTTTCGTTTTTGTACAGTTTACTATTTATGTATGTACTTAATTGTTTAATTGAAAGAGAAACAAAAATTGCAGTTAAAAGATCTTTAAAAAATCCGAACTACTAATTTCAAAACTTTGCAATGAATATGATAAGTAGTTACTTAATTTTCTAAAATCTTTAAATTGGCATTTGTGTTTCTCTTTTATTAAATCAATTCTTTTAGTTTAAGTATTAACAAAATGATCCAAAGATTTTTTTAAACCAACCCTCCCCTAAACATATATAAACACTTTTTTACTCTTGATGATAGAATTTTTTGTTTGTTTGCGAACTTTTTTAAGTCTGGTCTAGTGGCCTAGAGAAGAAAATTTACAACTGTGATTGTCATTGATTAGTTTAATTTTGATTTTATTTTTTCTATATTTTTAATTTAATTGAGAACAGACTTTAGATCCATGTGTGCTAGACTATTTTCTTTAACTAGTCCTTTATTGTAAGTGTACATTTTTTTTTTGTCCAAATGGATCTTTTAGTATTCGTACTTACTGCCCTCATTATTGTATATTTTATTTTTAAAACTTTATCTCTTATTGTTATTATCTTTATGATTTTTATGTTAAATTTGTTTTTATTTTTATAATTTTTATTATTATTTGGTTTTATGATTTTCCATTGAAAGAAATAAAATGTTCTATTTATTAAACTCTTTCATTTGAAAGGGCATGACAATCAATCTAAAAGCTGTTTTAATCATTTTAAATTGGTGTGGAAGGGCAAGTAATAGAAAATAAAGTCATGAAATTATATATTAACCCCCTTATTCATAAACAACATTTTATTTTATAAAAGGTTTATAAAACAAATTTTCCATACGAAATTTGATTTATAAATCGTTTATAAAATAAAATTGTGTTTATGAATAAGGGGCTAAATATTGAAAAATATATAACTCATTAATTTAAGTCTGTCTTATTCATAAATTGTATTTATCAAAGGTTTATAGTACAAATTTTGTAAGGAAATTTGTTATATAAACCTTTGATAAAAGTTTATAAATAAGACCCTTAGGCTTTAAGAACATAAACAAAGCCTATTTTAAAAATCGCTAAAATTTCCTAAATATAATAATATGGCAACTCAATTTACTTGAGTGCCATCTTGTGTTCTATAGACACGCCACATCAAATTCTGTTTGTTATCAAAGACACAAACCAACAAATGACAACAGAAAAAGTGTCCATCAACAATCAGTGTTGCCAGAAAATTCCCATTTTTAAATTGAAGTCGATTTTATTACTTCATACTAAAAATTTTGCAGGAAATACGGTGATCACAGATTTTCAATATTTTCTCGATTGAAGGTTTATTTAAGGAATTAAAGCCGATTTCACTTTTTTATATAAAAAATCGATATTTAGTAGGAACTAAAAGTGATTACACATTTTCAATATTTTCTCGATTGGCGGCTTATTTAAGGTATTAGAGCCAATTTTAGTTTTTCGTATAATAAATCGATATTTGGTGAGAAATAAAAGTGATCACAGATTCTCGATTGGAGGCATATTTAAGGTATTAGAGCCGATTTAAGTTTTCCATATAAAAAATCGATATTTGGTAGAAAAAAAAAGTGATCACAGATTTTAAATATTTTCTCGATTGGAGGCTTATTTAAGGAATTAGAGCTGATTTTAGTTTTTAACATAAAAAATTGATATTTGATAGGAAATAAAAGTGATTACAGATTTTTAATATTTTCTCGATTGGAGGCTTTTTTAAGGAATTAGAGCTGATTTTAGTTTTCTATATAAAAAAATCTATATTTGGTAGGAAATAAAAGTGATCACAGATTTTCACTATTTTCTTGATTGGAGGCTTATTTAATGAATTAGAGCCGGTTTTAGTTTTCCATATAAAAAATTGATATTTGGTAGGAAATAAAAGTGATCACAGATTTTCAATATTTTATTGATTGGAGGCTTTTTTAAGGAATTAGAGCCGATTTTAGTTTTATACATAAAAAAATGATATTTGGTAGGAAATAAAAGTGATCACAGATTTTCAATATTTTCCCGATTGGAGGCTTCTTTAAGGAATTAGAGCCGATTTTAGTTTCCTATATAAAAAATCGATGTTTGGCAGTGATCACAGATTTTCAATATTTTCTTGATTGGAGGCTTTTTTAAGGAATTAGAGCCGATTTTAGTTTTCTATATAAAAAATCGATATTTGGTAGGAAATAAAAGTGATCACAGATTTTCAATATTTTCTCGATTGGAGGCTTCTTTAAGGAATTAGGGCCGATTTTAGTTTTAAACATAAAAAATTGATATTTGGTAGGAAATCGATTGAAGGCTTATTTAAGGAATTAGAGACGATTTTAGTTTTTCATATAAAAAATCGATTTTTAATGGGAATAAAAGTGATCTCAGATTTTCAATATTTTCTCGATTAGAGGCTTCTTTAAGGAATTAGAGCCGATTTTAGTTATCAATATAATAAAATGACTTTTGGTGGGAAATAAAAGTGATCATAGATGTTCAATATTTTCTCGATTGGAGGCTTATTTAAGGAACTAAAGCCGATTTTAGTTCTCCATATGAGATATGGACTTTTGGTCGAAAATTTCAATATTTTCAATATTTTCTCGGGACCGATTTTAGTTTTCCGTATACAAAAATGATATTTGGTAGGAAATAAAAGTGATCACAGATTTTCAATATTTTCTCGATTGGAGGCTTTTTTAAAGAATTAGAGCCGATTTTAGTTTTCTATATAAAAAATCGATGTTTGGTAGTGATCATAGATTTTCAATATTTTCTTGATTGGAGGCTTTTTTAAGGAATTAGAGCCGATTTTAGTTTTCTATATAAAAAATCGATATTTGGTAGGAAATAAAAGCGATCACACATTTTCAATATTTTCTCAATTGGAGGCTTATTTAAGGAATTAGAGCCGATTTTAGTTTTATACATAAAAAAATGATATTTGGTAGGAAATAAAAGTGATCACAGATTTTCAATATTTTCTCGATTAGAGGCTTCTTTAAGGAATTAAAGCCGATTTTAGTTCTCCATATAAGAAATTGACTTTTGGTCGAAAATTTCAATATTTTCAATATTTTCTCGATTGGAGGCTTATTTAAGGAATCGGAACCGATTTTAGTTTTCCATATACAAAACTGATATTTGGTAGGAAATAAAAGTGATCACAGATTTTCAACTTTTTATCGATTGGAGGCTTATTTTAGAAATTAGAGCCGATTTTAGTTTTCCATACTAAAAATTTACTTTTCGTAGGAAATAAAAGTGATCGCATATTTTCAATATTTTCTCGATTGGAGGCTTCTTTAAGGAATTAGAGCCGATTTTAGTTTTCCATATAAAAAATCGATATTTGGTAGGAAATAAAAGTGATCAAAGATTTTCAATATTTTCTCGATTGGAGGCTTCTTTAAGGAATTAGAGCCGATTTTAGTTTTCCATATAAAAAATCGATATCTGGTAGGAAATAAAAGTGATCACAGATTTTCAATATTTTCTCGATTGGAGGCTTCTTTAAGGAATTAGAGCCGATTTTAATTTTCCATATAAAAAATCGATATTTGGTAGGAAATAAAAGTGATCACAGATTTTCAATATTTTCTCGATTGGAGGCTTATTTAAAGAATGAGAGCCGATTTTAGTATTCCATATAAAAAATCTATATTTGGTAAAAAATAAAAGTGATCACAGATTTTTAATATTGTGTCGATTGAAGGTTTATTTAAGAAATTAGAGCTGATTTTAGTTTTCCATATAAAAAAATCGATATTTGATTGAAAATTAAAGTGATCACAGTTTTTCAATATTTTCTCTATTAGAGACTTACTTAATGTGATCATATTTGTGAGAAATATGAGGGATCACAGATATTAACTTTTGTTAAATGGAGCATTATTTAAATAGAAATAGATTGTGATAATAGGTGTTCAAAGGTGTGTTTAAATTTATTTCCCAACCAAAACCGATTTGGAATTGAAATAATGAATGTCAATTTGAAAACGAAAACCCAAGGCGAAGCCGCAAAGTATCAAACTAAACCATTTAAACTTTTGAGTAGAATAAATTTTTATTTAATCTTAGAATTTAAATAAGAATTATACATAAAACTACTACAAAATTTGTGTGATTTTGTTTTTCTTCTTTTTTTTTCATACATCCTTTAATTTAAAGTAAATACATTTGTAGAGCAATATTAAATGTATAATATTTTTTTTTAATTTTCAGTAAATAACTAGTTATCAGCTTAGTAGAGTAAACTTATTTAAATAATACTCGCAATAAAATAAGTCTATAAATAGGAAAATTAGAGTTTAACTAAAATTTTCATATTTAGGTATTTAGATTAAATAGAAATATTTATTTAATGACTGTATTTTGCTTATATGCTTGCAGATTATTTTTTAGTTTATTGTAAATATATATTTATTTTGTATTTAATTTTTTTTTAATTTATAAGTTTAGCTTGCTTATAAATTCTAAAAAGTTTTAATATTATACCTTGCATTTAATAAATTTTGTTGTTTTTTTAAATTATGTATAATTATGTAAATCCCGGCAAATGACACATAATTTTATCAAAATATGTTTTAATGAAAATGTTTATATGTAATTAACATTAATTATGCTGTATATTTGCGGGATATATTATTAATAAAGTTATTTGTGTTGACAAGTGTATTCAACACTTGTCATAGTAAATACCTTTATTATTTGTTTATTAAACCTTTTTATATGTATGTATGTATGTTTATTTAACTGTGTATTTTCCTGTTTTGTTTTAAATTAAGTTTTTAACAATTTATAAAATTTTCTTTTCAATGCCAACAACAATAACATCACAATATTGTACTTGCATTTAAGTAACACAGTTTTCATTTTGCACTTTTAATTTTTAATTATTATTATTCTTTCATTTTGGTGTTGAAGTTATTGTATTTAAATATTATTTTTGTGAAAATTTTAATTTTATTTTGAACAATTTTTAATAATTTTTCTACATAGAAGCCACCATATTTTGTTGGAATTTTGTAAAATAAAAAAAATTGTGAATACGATCATTTGATATAAAAAGATAATTAACTAGAAATTGTTATTTTTTAGAATCCTATACTAATTTTTTGATCACCCTTCATACAATTTATACATTTTAATGAAAAATGGCTGAAATAAGGAAAAGGAACAGCTTTTTTATTATGATCTCCCCTAAGATAGACTATAAAAATGTTATGATCGATAAGACAAATTTTTGCTAACAAAAGTTGTATGTGTTAGAAAATCAACTTCCGTAAGTAAGTTGTATAAAAAAACTAAACTTAAGAAAGAAGTTTTGAAGAGGAAAAGGAAAAGCTTTTAATACAATTGAGTACATTTAAGTGATCATCCTTAAAATAGACTATAATTTTCTATGAATTTTTTTCAAGCATTTTTTTTTGACATAAAGCAAAGCTAAACAAAGGAAAATGTGCGATTAGTGAGAAATTAGTGTAAAAAGGAAATGCAAAACAGCTCAATAGTTGCAAATTGTTGTTGCCAACTATTACTGGTTATAAATAGTGTTGCCATTTTATATGGATATAATCAAAATTGGGGGTTTTTTGCTGGTTCCTGTAAAATAAGGAACTTTAAGTTTGTTTTTTGAAAGCAAATGTCAAATTTAATGAATTTTATTTTCATATTCATATAAAATTTTAAA